ACCGCTAAATGGTGGCAGAGAGATAACACCTGGAGTTTACACACTGACAGTAGTTATTTAAATTATAAAGGCTGTGGATTCAATCCGGCAGCAGGATCAGTCATCCAAGAAGATAACTTTGGTTTCCCTCACACTATCAACCCCTATTTCCGCTGTACCGCTAACAACAAGTCAACAACCCAGTGGTGGTTCGGTGGTCATCTTTGAACAAGAAAACTTGTTCCGGCTCACTCAGGACAGGCGAGAATCTAAAATCCTAAACGATGTAGAATTTAGTTTCTAATGAGAAAGAAGACATTCAATGATAAAACAGCTGTAAAAGAGAGTTAACTAAAAGGGATTAAATTAAATTATAAATATGTAATACACTAGCAATTAATTTGTTAGTTTTTCTGATCAGGCAGCATTGAGTCCCGTTAGCTCTGGCGTTATCCTTTCTTTAATGCGTTGTAAACGATAAGAATAAAGATCAGTTTTGAAAGTCTAATCATTTGTGTTTTCATTTTTAGCAATCGTTAACAGTAAAGCAGTTTTAACTTTCCAGAAAATTTCGGTTTTCAAACTGTATTAACTGGACGCGGGGCAATAGTAGATTATAGAAATAGAACGTACGTTATTTTTGGAAGTGAACATGTTTTGGACCAGGGGGCCGGGGGAAGGGGATGATTTGTATAGTTAGTGGAGGGTGACATCCCGCCGCCTACCATAACTACCTGTAACGCAGGTTCTACAGGCGGGCCTTTAACTTGACAATCGCAGGATAACACAAATGTGGTTTGGTGGTCAAGTTTGAACAAAAAATACCTTTTTAGCCATACAGATATGTAATAGCAGACCTAACCTGCCAGGCCTATTTTAGTTAACAATAAGCAACGCTTGCATTATGACATAACAAAATAAATGATGAGAACTTTGTTGTCATGGTGATTCAATTTATGCGACTTGACGATGAAAGGAAATCTAAAGGCTTTATGCCAAACGCTCCCCCTCCCTCCCTCCCTCCCTCCCTCCCTCCCTTCTACCTTACTTCCCTTCACACTTTTCGCCTTGTTTATCCGATGACCGTTCATTCGCTTCCATCCATTCAACTGAATGTTTATTGACTATAGTTTCCTATTTATTGGGTCATGGGAGTGGGGAAGTACTATTTTCTATTCTTAGCCTTAGTCTAAACCTTGAGTTTTCGTTCCCCTCATAAAGTTCTTTGTTTAACTAAGTTCGTGAAATTTCGTGTTTCCAATCAAACGAGGAATGCCTAATTCAGTCTTAATTAAGTCAATGTTTTATTGTTTGATAAGAAGCCTGGCCTATTGGTATAGTTCTAATCAGAACACTTTGATCTTCAGTGACTTCAGTCATCGTGCAACGTTGCATAAGAGTCCCTGTTCGTCTTTGCTTGCACCAAAGTTTTCGTTCTATTGGATCCAGTCGTCTCTGTTTATCACGATGAATGTCTCAAATGGTGTTTTGCTTCTATTACTGGTGACTTTGGTAAGTTAAATACTAACACGATAAAGTATATTTGAGACGGTTCTTTTGGTTGTTAATCATGATCAAGGCTCACTTTCATCAATGATATTCCAAAAACGTGTCGTTACTTTTTTATCCTTTCCCTCTAGAGTTTGACGAGTTTCGTTTCATCAAAAAAAGCTAATTCATGTGCTGGGTCCAAGGTAAGTGGCGTTGCACGTACTGAATATGAATATCTTATTTATGCTTGGTATTTCGACTTGATACTGTGTGTGTGATGTGAGAGGAATA